CTTGTCATCTTATTATCTTACAAACAATACAATATTGTATGTACAGCAGCAAATCTGAGCCTTAATCTGCCACTGAAACTACAGAACACACACACACACACACACACAGAGCCACACAGACCACGTACACACACACACACACACACACACACACACACACACACACACACACACAGAAATATGAAATTCCAAACACACTCTTTCATATGACACACTTCCTCTCCCTCTTGGGCTAAGCTTTGGATGTCACTGCAGTGGTGATGTGTATCATTTCTGTGGAGACTTGAATCAACACTGATAAGAGCGTGGAATTACAGCTGTGAGGTGGAGGTACAAGTGCTAGAATAAAGAGACACACAGACACATCATCCACTGTTTGTCCAAGTATCTTCCCAGTGCATCAGGCTATCATAAATCATCATCCTTCCCTCTCTTTACAGCCAATCATCACACATACACATGTACACACAGGACAGACGCTGCAGTGCAAGCAGCCAAGCTCATCTGGCTCACTCCGTTTCCATGGAAACAAGCTACTCTGCAATGAGAACTGCCGACAACAAAAGAAAGAAACGGAGGGATGAATAGAACAAAAAGGTGATAAAGGACGACATAAATATATAAACAAATGCTACTGCTTGGGTCATTTTTTAGATCTACAGTGTGTTTTTAATTTTCCCCCAAATGACCAGGCTTTAAGTGAATTATTAAAATGCTCCGCGGACACTATCAAGTGGAGGAAATTTCAAAATATGTTATCTTATAACCAGGTGTACTGCAGCGAAGCATCAGACTGAAGGACATTTATCTATCTGTCTCACTTCTTTCTGTTTTTTTTATGCATTCTGCTCTTTTATTTCTTCCAAATGATCGACTCATCATTCGTTGGGCTATTTCCTGATTTTTAATTGTTCATCTTTCCATGTCCTATTTTACTCTCCCAACCCATTTTATAACCATTTTATTATCGAGTGCAAACAGTGGTTAAAAGCTCTGAACTCACTGATCGATAGGCCTGCCTGATAATGGAACCATTGATTATGGCTGGAGGTTGAACAGATGTCAGAACTGTTGGATCAGGTTTTCAGCTGGGCAGCAATCACTGCGATCCGTGAATTTCCAGCAACAGCAAACGCTGCTCTGTCTGACAAATTGTCATTGGAGTTGAAAATGCAGCAAATGAATAGTTCCTCAAACCTTTTCTGAGGAAAGGTGAGCAGCAATCTCCCGAGTTAAAAAGTGAGACCAATGAGGAAAAGGGCCAAAAAGTGCAGTTCTGTAAACGGCCACTTAAAGCTGGCTTCTAGCTGAGTTCTGATATGGATTTCTCTTATACCAGACAAATAAAAGGGGCTGCTGTTCCCACATGGGAGGCAAAATGACATTTTGATGTTAGAGACTTTTAGAGACACATCATTGATTACAGCAGCAGGGAAAGTATAGCTTTCTTTGCAATACATCTGGTCCATTCAGTTGTCCCATTAGGTAGTGATCTTGTGGAACAACCTAATATATATGATACAGTGTCACAGAGTAACTGCAGGCCAGCCAGTGTGTACAATAAGAGGAGAGAGAATTCTGGCATATTTTATTATTTACTTGAGTCCATTTCCTGTCTGCATATCTGTTATTTTCCAGTGTGCCTGACTTGTTTAAACCTGCTTTACCTGCTGATTCTTTAGCGAGCTGGGCAGGAGCACGACAAGCTCTAAAGAATACGAACTGATATGTTAGGAAACTGTTGCACATTTGCAATAATCCAACAGACTGTCAGTCATCTGTGTGATCCTCTGGCTCTCTACACAACGGAAAACAAAAAAACCAGCAAACAGTACAGGCTGGATTGCAGAAACTGATAAACCGATATGTCAGAGGTTCTTCTCGCTGCAATCTGCATCAATCTGACCAAACTATCAGTTTAACAACTAAAATGAGAACTTCACTGTCTGAATCTGGAATAAAAGGATGGTGATGGCAGCTGTTCTTTTAAATATAGTAAATATATATGTTTCTGCTGATCATTGATGCAATGACATTAACATTAACTATGACAGTTGGAAATACCTCAAATACCCGTGTGCAGGATTTTTATACCTCAGTCATTACCCTTCTATATAAAAGACAACCTAACAAATTTCTATTCCTGTTCCTGGCACCCTGGTGTATTTGATGTGCAAACCCTCATTTTCACATAAGCATGCTTTGAAATGTTCATTATTATTTTATGTAAACGCACACACACTGTGCCTCAGCCTGCTTCTCATGTTTCTCAGCCTGTAGGTCTACGGTTACGTTGCAGATACGGTAACAAGTCAACTTCCATGTTATCTGATAACATATTTAATAGCGTCTGACCGCTGCCTCTGCTTTTTCAGCAGCAGCAAAGGTTGTGTCAGGATTTATTTTACAGTAACCCCACTGTTGATCCTCTGCAGCAGAAATGCTGATGAAAGGGGCGATGGAGACAGATAAAAAAAATGTGAGGGGGAAATGATGACATATCCAGAGAGTGTCAGAAAGAGGAGCAAACAGATGGATTTTCAAAGTCAAACACTATTGCCTGAGTAAACCTCAGGATGAAAGGGAACAGATCAGGACAGAGAGGGAAAGAGGAAGAGATGGCCAGTGACAAAGAGACAGAAAGCAACAACAATGGCAGAGGAAGAAAAAGGGAACGTGAAAGAGAGAAATGTTGTCATTCCTCTGTCATGGATGAAGAGTCACAGCAGTGTAAACTTTTCTCCTTCCATTCCAATCCGATCCACAGCTCATCCAGCCATGGCGTATGGTACTGCAGAGCAGGGTGGGATCAAAAGCAGTGAGACAAACACTCGAAGGAAAGTTGGGAAAGTCTGGAAGAGGGCCATGAAAAATGTTTAAAATGTTTGGCAGCTAATGAGGAACGGCAAAACCTAAACAAAGCAATGCTGCAATTCATGATGTGGCTATTACAACACCTGTAAAGGGCAAAAAATGTAAAAATGTGAGCGAATAAGAATGAAATAAAACCGACTTTATTGTGATGTTACTGTTGCTGAGAGCTTGAGAGACTGGAGAGAAAGAAACTGACATGCTTTCTGAGTGGAAATGGTTTTAACAGCGAGTCAGGTTACGGCCCGTCACACAGGTTAACTGACAATACATGACACTGCTCCTGGAGAACGAGGGGGAGAGAGAGGAGACTGCAAAGAAATCAGATTTGCTTTCAGTGTACAGACTCACTTAAACCAACCGGGCATGAAACCCTGGGCGTGACACAGCAGAGAGGAAAGGACTTCTAGAAAGAAATGGACTGTAAGGACGGGAGTCTAGCTTTGTCTTTACACCCACAAACTGAGGGCCTTTTTTCTGGTCCCATTCTCTGCCTCTATACACGGATGGACGGATTTAAAGGTGTACGCTGGCTGCACACACGGCATCCGTGGGGATCAAACACTTAACCTGGGCTACCAAACTCACTGTTCAACTGTCCAACATTTTCCAACGGTGACATTTTCAAGCTATTTGCTGATTTCATAGATTAGTTCACAACAGTTTTGATGCAGGGGTATCCTTTTATTTTGTTTTTCGAGTAGACACGGCAAAGCAAAGGTATGCCTAATATCCCTGTGTTGTGTTGTGTCTGCATTATCGTAATAATGTTGGTCCAGGATCAACATTGCACCGACCAGTCACGTGGCTGTGATGTGATAGCTTTGCAATGTGGGGAGAAAAAATAAAAAAATAAATCCTCTGCTTATATAAAACTCTCTCCTGGAACAAATGGTTAGCATTTAATGCTAACTGAATGCTCAGATAACATCCGTGGTCAGTTTCAATGTTAGTTATTATTATAATGATACAGGATACACAAACAATGCAATGATTTCATGGACATGGACAGCATACATATAAATAATTATGCATAATTCTGAAGAA